GTGGGCAAGAATAAGCCTCTGGCAAGAAACAGAGAAGACAGGGAATTGCATCAAGGAAAGTTACATAAATAGCCAGGTAGGAAAAAATATGGGCACATTTAATTCAGATATAGAAAACTTCTAGATCTTTCTGTGCATTCCAGGTGAAGGAAAAGAAGTGGTTTCACATTCCAGCTTATCTGTATGGTTTTGGGTAAATTATTTAATATGATAACATGAAATAATAGCACTCAAGTTTACAGTTTTTTTTTTTTTTACTGGGATTTGAAAGCAGGGGTGCTTTACCACTGTGCAACATCTCCAGCCGCTTTTATTTTTTATTTTGAGAAAAGGTCTCACTAGTTGCCCAAGTTGGTTTCGAATTTGCAATTCTGCCTCAGTCCATGGAGTAGCTGGGATTGCATATAAGAGCCACCACGCTGGGTTTCCTGGGCTGTTTTGAGGATTGGAAATAAAGATATTTATAAAATGACAAAGCCTGATGCATATATATTTTTATATCAATTTTTCTTATGATGTTCCTTATTTAAAATACAAGGAGCTGGGGATATAGTTTAAAAGTGGCAAGGCTCTGGGTTTGATCCCCAACACAACAAAAATAAATAAAAAAATGAATAAATAAATACAAGGAAATTGTGTCATTAGACACCAGTCAAAAGAAGGATTAGCATTTATTTATTTTCATACCTAGGCATCTTTTTAGCTCAGGTTGGCTAAGGATCCCCTATGCTATCCTCGTGCATTATAGTTTACTAAATGCTAGGGCATCAGGTCATTTAATTCTCAGGGCAACCTGCATTCCTGGGATGGGGAAGAGTTCAGAAAGGTTAAGTGCCTTGTTGAAAGGTACTCAGCGGATAAATGGCCCAGGTGGTTCCTTGGCGAGGTCATCTGCAGTCTACCACAGCCTTTCTCAGCAGTTTCCCAACCTTCCTAAGACGAAAGCACTAGTCCCAGGGGTTTAGACTGGGAGATGCTACAGGAGGGAGGTGCCAGAGCGCGAGCGGACAAGGACGGGTCCTGATGTTCCAGAGCTCGGGCTTCCCACATCTCCCAACTGTGGGACCTCGACCAGGCCGGGTTTCTTCCGCGGGGGACTGGGGACTCATCGCCCGCCCAAAGCACTGGGTGCGGAACGCCAAGCTACCAAAGTGAGGCAACTTCCAAACTCTATGAAACGAATTCAAAGAAGTTAAGGGAGTCGCTCAAGGTCATCACACCGGGGCTAGGCCCAGCCGAGACTCAGACCCTGACCCTTCGCTCGGGCATCAGAGTTGTGTGGCTCAGGTAACAAGGCGCCCCAGACGCCCGGCTTTCTGCGCACCCAAGCTTCACCGGCTCCTGCCGGCCCCGCCTCCGAGCCTCGGCTCCGCCGGGGGGCGCGCGCGGGGGGCGCGCTCTAGCCGCCGCGCTCCTCGCTCCTCTCTATGGTGGAGCGGCAGGGCGGAGGCGCGCTCCCGGGCGGGGGCGGGGCGATCCGGGGGCGGAGCCGCGCGAGGGGCGGGAGCGGCCGCGCCGAGCCGCCAGGGGATGGGTTGGGGGGGGGGCGATTTCCTGGGGCCGCCCGTGAGGATGTCGCGACCGCCCCCCTGTGCCCCTCAGCCCCGGAGACGCCGCCGCGGCGAAGCCCGCACCCCCCCTGTCTGAGGTGTCTGGGCCCGGATCCGGCCTCTCCCCTCCGCTCCTTAACCCAGGTGCGGGCCGGGCAGGCGGCCGCGGCAGGTGAGGAGGCGGCCGCGGCAGGTGAGGAGGCGGCCGCGGCAGGTGAGGAGGCGGCCGCGGCAGGTGAGGAGGCGGCCGCGGCAGGTGAGGAGGCGGCGGCGGCGGCGGCGCTGGGGTCCGCGGGACGCCGGGCCTGGGGTGGGGTCTGGTGGGAGGACGGGGGCCGCTCCTCGGCCTCCGGTACCCCAGAGTGTGGGCTGGGGTCGCCTCCTCCGTGTGGGGCGCGGCCTGGGGCTCTCCCTGCCCTCCAGGGGTGGGGAAGCACCTTCATCGCTGGAAGTCTCTGCGTTCAGGGTAGCCCACACCTGTCCCATTGAAAGTGCCCTCAAAGCATTTCACCCACGGGGACGGTAACCGGGGACGGTAACCCGGGACGGTGTGTCCTCCGCTATACCCAAGCGCCTTAGAGACTGGCAGGTCCAGCTGGCTTGTGGGGCAGAGGAAACTGAGGCAGGTTTGCGGCGGCCTGCTCTCCCCTCTATAAGAGCTAGCTTGTCCCCTTCCTAGTTGAGGAGCCCCGCGGGCTGCTTGGATGAAGGAGGAGGCTGAAGGAGAGAGGCTTGGAGTTTGGAGGTATGATGGAGAAGTTTGGGAATGCAGCTCTTATCCCACAGGGTCCGCAGTTCCTTCTCCTGGGAGTCGTCCTCTCCAGGATGTGTGAAAGGTCGCCACTGTGCGGCACTGGGCAAGGCAGAGAGGGAAGTGGGGCCTCTCTCCAGCTGGCTGCCTGGGAGACATTTGACTAGGCATGGGGAAGTCTGGCTGGACCAGGGGAGCCCAGAGCCTCCGCCGATCTGCCTGCTCAGAGCTTGATTTTGGGCTGGCAGAAGAGACAACAGCATATTTTCTTCTTCTTGTTGGTCTGTCATTTGTTATAGGGGGAAAAACTGTAGTCAAGGAAGAGTGACCGCGCATGGTGGCGCACGCCTGTAATCTCAGCTGCTTAGGAGGCAGAGGCAGGAGGATGGCAAGTTTGAGGCCAGCCTCAGCAGCCTAGTAAGACCCTGTCTCAAAAAAATTAAAAGGGCTGAGAATGTACCTCAGTGATAAAGTGTCCCTGGGTTCAATCTCCAGAACCAAAAAAAACCCCAAAACAAAAAGTACCACACTCTTCCCAGACTACTACAGGAAAGAATTATTGTTAGCTTGGAAATAGGGCTTTGCCCATAACTGTCACTTTGCACCCTGGTTGCAGGGCAGAGTGACAGATGAACAAACACTGTGGGGTGCATATAGCCTTTTCAGAAAGCAGTAAGTTCCTTTGCATCCTTTGGACTGGTGGTTTAAAGAGCAGAGACTTCCTGTCACCACTGTTACTACAACTGAGAGCCCTGTGGTTCTCTCAGTGATGGTTAGTGTATCAAAATGAAGGCAAGGCTGTTCATGTATTGTACCATTTTTCTAGGAACTCAAATAGTCAGGGGACATGGGCCTAGGCAGAGTTTGTATACAGAGATCTAGAACTGAAAGCTGGCCATATTTCTTTTTCTGGTAAGGGGATTTCAGGTTTGACAACTTTACCCTTTTCCCTGATTGCATTCTCTTTCACATTCAAGGAAACATATGATGAAAAGCATTTCGTAAATTTTATTGCGTATTTCTTAATTCTGGACTTCAGAGTACAGTTCATAAGTTAGGGTTTATTTAGAGGTATTATTTTCTTAAGTTTGAAAATGTTTGTATATTGTGCATAACAGCTGCAGATTGATGTGTCAGGACTAATAACTTGATTGTGCGTGAATATATGTCATTTAGGATATACACACATTTTAATGTCTACCTAATTATGAAGAACAGCCCATTAAAACTTCTCATATTGATCAGCTGTTATCCTGTTTACATTGGGATTGAGGATTATAAATCCTCTAAATTGACCACTTTAGCCAACTGTTAAAATAATGAGCACAAAGAGAGAGCTGTTCTCAGAAAGCTCAACAATTTGTTTTCAAACTTTCTCTTGGCCCAGTCAGTTGACATAACTCTGCCTAGTGCCATTTAATAAGAATACTGTTCCTATTAGTGGAAAAGGCATTTTCATTGACCAGTGTTTAAGATGAGGAAACATCAACAAAAACAAAGAAAAGGGCACCTTTTCTTTTCTACTTACATGTGCACTGTGATGTTTAATACAGCCAGCCACTCCTGTCTGTATTAGTGTCACTCAGTACTTTGTGAAAACACCTACAGAAACTTAAGGACTGTTGGACTAATGCCACCTTGATTTTTATTCTTGTAATAGAATTTTTAATACTGTTGCTGTTTTAATGACAGAGACTTTTATACCAAACTTGTACTGACAGTAATGTTTGTGTTTGGAGAGCACAAGATTTAACCTCTGTAATTTGGAAATTCATAACCTCTGCAATACAGAGTTAAGGTGTAATTTAGAGTTTAATGAGAACAGATGGTTTAGATTGCCATTGGTGAAGTCTCAAGGGAAGAGCTGCTTTGTTTTTATTATTGTTGTTTGATAATGACTACTAGTTTGGTGATGGTTACTGTTTGATGGTGGTTATTGTTATTATTGTGGTACTGGGGATCTAACCCAGGGCCTCCTTCATGATGAACACATTCTACCACTGAGAGATATCTGCAGCTCCATGGTTATTTTTGTTTGGTTACTGGTTATTGACAATGTTATTTGATGTTCGTATAAAAAAGATTTTTCAATTATAAGGACAGTCTTTTCATATACAAACACACAATCTCCCATTCTTAAATAGAGAAAAGTTCTGACATAGGGAAAAGTTCATTTTATTTTGTGACCTTATAGTCCTGGAGTTTTAAAATCCTAAAAATAGTTGAGCCCTTAGTAGAATATCCTTTTATATCTCAGATAAAAGCCATCTCAGGTAAGTAATCATTGGCCTCAGGTGTAAATATACCTCCTTTCTTCCTGCTCCCAGGATTTAACAGCTGCCATGGTTGGGACATTGGTCTTATCTAATCCTGTTATGCCAGTCTAAACCCATGATCCTTTCTCTTCATTAGATTGTCACGAAGTTCTTCCTTTACTTTTCTTATTCAGGCTGAATATCCCACATTTTTGATGCATTTGAGTCTGTTTACATCTGAAGTGGAGCTAAGCAGTTAAGAGTACTACATGTACTACATGTTTTGAAACATTTTCTTCTTTTAAAGCAAGCATAAAACCTTCTTTCTTCTGGGAGAGGACCAGCTCTTTAAATCTGATAGTAAAAAAGAGCTGGTTTTTCCAGCTTTCTACCAATAGGAAGTCTTCATTTACTTTTTCTTACTTTCTGGTTTTGCCAGTACACCAACTAGTCACTAGTAGTGAATTATGACCCAGTGGCATAGGATGATCCTGAAGTTTCCTGATTCATCAAAAGAAGGTCACATTGTATTTAGAGCAGCTTTAGATTTTTAGCTTTTATTGCAAGGAGTTACCTAAGGCCAGCCACTCCTTGCAAGATTCTCTACCTGGCATTTTGGAACTGAGTCACCCAGGCGTTCTTTTAAAATGCAGATTTCCCAGCCCCACCTCCTGGACATTTTGGTTGAGTAGGTAAGTGATGAACAGGAATCTCTATTTAAAAAACTTCCCTTGCATTATTTCCAAAAAGCTCCTCGCGCTTTTGATATGCAGCCTAGTTTGGGAACTGTTGCATTTTCTTTTTAACTGTATTTCCTGTGCAACAATCCTTATGGGACTTTGAAAATTGGGGTTCACTTCTGTTTTTTAAAATTATTGAAATTGTATGCTCTGAAACTCTTTTTAAATTGGTAGTTCCTCTAATAGCATCATGCTGTCCATGATGTTTGATTTGCTAGAATAACCCATTTCCTAGTCATGACAGATAACAAAGAGCTTTTATAACTTTTATGTTAATTGCTTTACAGCAAAGCACCTCTGCTGTATTATCTGTCAGGAGTCATGAGGGAGAGTTTCTGGTGAAAGTAGCTTTCTTTATCTCATGAGTGGACAAATGAGTGATAATGTGGAAACAACTGGAGGTCTCAATAGGAAGCCGAATCTAGTTTTGATCAATGATGGGAGATGCCTGGGAATTCTCTATGTAAGAATTTAAAATAAGCCAACCAAATGAAGAAAAATATGCATACTAAAGTTAAGATAGCAGATGTTTTTCGTACATTGTAGGCCACTCAGTTTCTCTTCCACTTTTTCTGTAGGATTTTTATTTTGTAGGTTTAAGATATCTTTCTAAATCTAGCCTTTATATCTCTTTCCAGGAATATCTACTCAGCTCTTGTAGAAAGTGTACTAAGAGTGTGAGCACTAAGGAACTAGAGAATATGGGTAAGAAAAATGAGTCATAGGACAATTAGCAATGCTTAAAATTTTTTTTTTTTTTCAGAATGAGTGGAGTGTTGGCACGTGCCCAGAGTTACTATCTGCAAGAATAAATTAATAACGTTATCCAAATTCTGCTGTATGTATTTGGATGGTAGCCCAGGAGCTCTGATTAGGCTATGAGGCTTTGAGGGTGGCCCTATTAAGTAGTACCTGACATCCATTTCTTGCCTTATCTTCCTTTCTCCCTTTTTGGTCTTCTTTTTTATTCTTTCCTTCTGTCTCTCTCTCTTTCAAGGTGTCCTTCCTGACTTGCCAATCACGCCATAATAATATAGGCTGGGTCCCTGGAACTTGAGGCTAAAAGAGGTTGCTGGTTGCTAACACCTGTCTTTCAGCTAAATGAATAGGCTCTTTTGTGTGCAGGATGTTAAAGAAGCTGATTAGTACAATACTGGCTTTAAGGGCCTAATAATGATACAGCATATGTAAATCATGGAGTGATTTAAAGCCATTTTAAAAATTAGTTTCTTTATACTGTTTATTTATTTTTTATATTGGATTGTCAGTCGAATTTTTGCACCTAAACTATGAATCTGTTTATTGCCTAAACAGACTAATTTCTGTCATATTGATTGGGAATCATTTATATTCTAAAGAAGTTTCTACCCTTAAGGGCCTTTGTATTGTTCGGTAAATGTCTAGTGTGTAATACAATTAAAGTTTTGTTCACTGTGCTGCTGACATAATTAGTTTAATTTCTTCTCCTTTATATATTCCTGTTGGCAGCTGGAAAATTAAAATACTAGAT